AGTTTGAAAATCTGCCAATGACTTACAATGACAATGTTCCAGATCCAAAATGTAACAAACAGTGATGGTGGCACTGCAATGTTTGCACTCTGTATAGTTCTTGGGCTTGTTTTTGTACATTCTTGAACTCAGTGGCATGAATTATGACAAAGCTGCCTCGCACTTATTTCCACCAATCGAAAACAAAACCTAAGATGACCTACATACGAATCATTTGTCTTATGCTGCATTGCAAGCTCTAGTTTTTACTGGCGTATATCCCCTCAAACCCAAAACCTTCCATGAAAATTTTTTGAAATTCCTCCAAATTCCAACACAAATGTATACTTCTGGTGTAAATTGGGATATGATAAAACTGTTATTTACATTTGACAAATTCATCAGTCTCCTTATTCATTTGCATATGAACCATCCTGCTTGGTCAAGGCACATGTCAGGATCAGGATGATTCCCTAACAGGATGCTGAAGTCTCCAACCTAGTGTGAATGAAGCTGAAGAAGTGTTTTTGTGGAAGTTCGTGTGGTAACACTTTACTTGAAGGGGTGTGCATAAGACTGACATGACACCTTCATAATCATGAAACCTCCTTCATATTCATGACATGTTTACGACAACTGTCATTAAGTGTCATTCGCTCAATTATGAAATTTTTTAATGCAAATATGACATTGTTTGAGATGTCTTGGTAATGACACCTTGACATAAACCAATACATCATAACCTGCATGTCTTTGTCATAACAACTTGGCATTACCAAGACAACATAAATTGTCATAAATGTCATAAACATGACATAGCAGATTAATTATTAAACTTAAGAAACCACTTAGCTTTATGGGTTAATGTTACATTAAACTGTCAGGTGGTTGGTTTTGACATTAGCTGTCATGAGGCCATTATAACATTTTAATGACAGTCAATCTGTAGTTGAGGTCAAGAAAAATATTCATGACACAGTTATAATGGCCTCATGACAGCCAATGTCAAAACCAACCAATGTCATAATTGAGAGAATGACACTTAATGGCAGTTGTCATGAACATGCATGATATGACATGTTTCATAAAACCTCCTTCATATTAATGACTTGTGTCATGTCATGATTATGAAGGTGTCATGTCAGTCTTATGCACACCCCTTCAAGTAAAGTGTTACCGTTCGTGTTGATGGAGTTGACAGCCGTCAGTTTGCCTCAGTGATTGACACATGTTGGGCTACACCTGTGAATGATCCTCATTACTCTGTCCGCTTAGACCTCATCGTTGGAATGTAAGAGTTGTTTTATCTCCCTTTGTTTCGCTCTGTAAAGAAAATGCAGTTTTCCTAATAAATATATAAAGTGATTTTCTTAGAAAAACTTTAGGAATATTTTACCCAAAAATAAAAACATTTATTTACTGATTTGGAACCATATCATGGTGTGTGTAAATTATGACTTTCTTTCTCTTTTGTGTTCTTAGAAATTGGAATAAAAAATCTTGCTCAACCAGACACAATCAATTATGATTTATAGCTACACTTCTGTCGTTATGCTGAATGTTGCTTTGCAGCATTTTTGACCAACGCTTAATTTGTGATAAGAGACATCATCTTGTTTCATCTTGTTTCTTTTTCCATTTTGCAAATACAGTAGGAGACGTGTCAGGTCTCTTTATCCATTTCTTAATGTGAAGATGTAAGTTCATCAATAACTCCCAGGACCCAACACTCATTTATCAACATCATGTTCATTTGCATCCATAATACATTCATAAATTTGTTTTTTGTACCTCTGAGATTGTGTTTTGTTACATAGTACAAATACATTTGATCATTAATGTATAGAATTATATATTGTATACCTTTCTGTATTTTGGGAAAAGTATTTCTAATGCTGTTCTTTCTGTGATACGGGGTGCCAGTTTTTTCAAGTCAGAAGTAAAAAATTACTTTCTTTTAATTTACCTTAAACCAGCAATAGATAAGCAGAAACTGATATCAACTATACAGTATCTCACAAAAGTGAGTACACCGCTCACATTTCAGCAAACATTTTAGAGTATATATTTACTGTCCTCTGAAAATAACTCAACATGCAGCCATTATTGTCAAAATAGCTGGCAACAAAAGTGAGTACACCCTAAGTGAACATGAAAACTGTGTCCAAAGTGTCAATATTTTGTGTGAGCACCACTGTTATCTAGCACTGCCTTAATCCTTCTAGGCATGGAGTTCACCAGAGCTGCACAGGCTGTTGCTGGGATCCTCTTCCACTCCTCCATAATGACATCACGGAGCTGCTGGATGTTGGACACATGGCGCTTCTCCACCTTCCGCCTGAGGACGCCCCACACAGGTGCTCAATAGGGTTCAGGTCTGGAGACATACTTGGCCACTCCTTCACCTTCAGCTTCCTCAGCAAGGCAGTTGTCATCTTGGCGGTGTGTTTGGGGTTGTTATCATGCCGTTCGGCCCAGTTTCTGAAGGGAGGGCATCATGTTCTGCTTCAGAATGTCACAGTACATGTTGGAATCCATGCTCGACTGTAGGCACGATTTTACCAATTTTCTTGGTACTCCTCACCAGTGCGTCGAGTTTATCTTAGTCTCATCAGGCCACAGGACATGGTTCCAGTAATCCATGCTCTTGGACAGGTTTCTTTCAGCAAACTGTTTGCGGGCTTTCTTGTGAGCCAGCTTCAGAAGAGGCTTCCTTCTGGGATGACGGCAATGCAAACCGACTTGTTGCAGTGTGCGGCGTATGGCCTGAGCACTGACAAGCTGACCTTCCACTTCTGCAACCTCTAAAGCAATGCTGGCAGGACTCATGCGTCTGTTTTTTGAAGCCAGCTTCTGCACCTGACGCACAGCACAAGGACTCAGCTTCTTTGATTGACACTCGCGAGGCCTGTTCCGAGTGGAACCCGTCTTGGAAAACCTCTGTATGACCCTGGCCACTGTACTGTAACTCCGTTTCAGGGTGTTACCAATCTTCTTATAGCCTAGGTCAACTTTGTGGAAAGCAACAATTCTAATTCTCAAATCCTTAGAGAGTTCTTTGCCATGAGGTGCCATGTTGAATATCCAGTGGTCAGTATGAGAGAATTGTACTCATGGTACAAATTTTGACTGCTCTAATACAAGATACAACAATTCGTATGGTCCCGTCAAGCAGACAAAAACATGAACATGATGAATAGGACATGTGGCTTTGCATGGTTAAACAATTATTATCACTAAGGGTGTACTCACTTTTGTTGCCAGCTATTTTAACAATAATGGCTGCATGTTGAGTTATTTTCACAGGACAGTAAATATATACTATACAAGCAGCACATTGACTACTTTAAAATATATCCAAGTTTCATTTATATAGTGTTGTCCCTTGAGTAGATATACTAAAATGTTTGCTGAGATACTGTATATATTAGTAAAATACTGATTAAACAATCAATAGGTAATATGACCCATAGCTACGCTTGTAATAGATGATGATGTATCCTTGCACCGTAAAGACAAAGATTTGTTCATTACAGAGTAGCTTTTTGTGTTTGTGCTTGAATGAAATTCTTAGGATTCATTTGAACATTCATCAAAATATGCACTGTAATAAACAGTCTGTCTAAATTAAATCTATATTACATCTATACAAGGAAGTAAAGCCATGACAGGTCAATGACAGATTAAATACCATACATTAATTGGAAAAACTGGTTTATGGTTATTGAGAAATCTTTTGGTTGCAGTCACTGTCCGCCTACATTGATTGAAAATATTTAAAACTGAGATGTGCAGCATCAATGTGTTCTGGTTTGAATTGTTGCACTGAGAACCACCGTAGTTCAACAGCATTTCATCTCAGGTAAAAATTACTTATTTTATCCTATCTCGCTCTTTCTACTGCTTTTGTTTGACATATCACAAAACAATTGATATTAGCTCATGATATATGCAAATTTTCATTTGGGGTTAGGGTTTCTCTGGGATTGTGGAACTGTAAAGTCAAATTTACTAAAATGAGTTCATTTTACTCAGATATTATTTATACTCAATAGCTGATTGTATTAAACTGTACTCAAAATTAATGAGTTACATCAGATTTCAGTTCAGCATGCTTTGCTTCCGACATTTAAAGGAGAGTAAATGTTACAATTGAATAGTTATTTTATGTTTTTGCTCAAGATTAATAGGGGGAGATCTGTTATTGTCTTTTTATATTGCAGGTTTTTTGCAGCCATGTGTTGAGCACAAGCAACCGTGAAAACCTGTTTGTTCCTCTTGCTGGGAGTGGTCCACTGATGAATGTCTGAACTTTCAGTCTTTTAAGTGTTTCAAAAAGTTCATTGAAATCCTTCTTAAGGAGTTCTGACTGCTCTTTATATCATTTTTCCCCACATGAATGATGAGTCGATTTGCAGTCTTATGTTTCATCAGAATGTTCTGAAGTTCCCTATTTACATCAGAAGTCGTTGTCAGAAGTCGTAAACTAAAGTGTTACCTAAAAATAAAAAATATTGCAAAGATGTTGGAAAGTGAACTGACATCAGTGATGGTATAGCTAATAAATTGTCACACGTCTGTTTTATCCATTTTATCCACTAACATATCTTTATAGTTGGACCAGTGAAAACTAAAAAGTCTTAATGTTAAATATTTTATAGCAATGATTACTATATTTAATAAAGGAATATGTTATCTTCAAATATGTGTTTTATTAGTTATTGTCATAAATCCTGTGGTTCTCCTCTGTTTGTCAGACCGCTGTTCTGAGCTCAGCTGCACTGAGGATGAACGCTGTGAAGAGAAACATGGTGTTTATGGCTGTTTCTGCAAGGACAACCATCACAGTTCTCAGCGTGGATCCTTTGGTTGGACTCATTCAGCATTTCAAACATTTTTTCAAAAATTACATTTTTGTTTTTTATCATTGTTGACATTCTCTTGAATATTTTTCTCTCTCAGATTTCTCTGAAACCTGTGAACGCAGCTCTGGCTCCATGTCTCTGTCTCGCTGCCAGCTTTTTGAGGCTGGTTTTCCTTCTGACATCTTACACCTCAATGACCCCAAGTGCAGAGGAACAGTCCGGAATGGCAGAGTGGAGTTCTATTTTGACAACAATGACCACATCTGTGGGACAAGTCTTGTGGTATTGCATACATGCTCAAATGATCAAAAGAACAACAAATCCTTTTTGCAATTCTTTTATAATTCTTTAAAAAGTCCTTTAATGTACAAATGTTCAAATAATATGTGCCTACAGGCCAATGGCACCCACTTCATCTATGAGAACTTTATTGTGGGAGAGCCAGACACAGTTGGACATCTCATCAGCAGGAAGAGAATTCTGAAGCTTTTTTTCAGCTGTGTGTACTTACAAACCCAAACACTCTCCATGGACATCAACCCTCTGGAGAGGTATGCACTTAATTCAGCCAACTTACTGACTAACTATTTAAAATATTCTTATTTGTAGTTGAGACATCTCTTGTAAAATTATTTCAACAGCGTTCTGCACAGGATCCTTCCTGCTGGTCAAGGGACATATCAGGTCAGGATGATTCCCTATCAGGATGCTGAATTCACCCATCCCTTCACTGGTAGTGTGAACGCGGAGCTGGACAGCCGTATTTTTGTGGAAGTTCGTGTTGATGGAGTTGACAGCCGTCAGTTTGCCTCAGTGATTGACAAATGTTGGGCTACACCTGTGAATGATCCTCATTACTCTGTCCGCTGGGACCTCATCGTTGACAAGCAAGTTCTTTTTCTTTTTTCTTTTCTTTTTTATTATTTGTCTTCCTTAGCACTTATGATTTGTATTTAAAAACAAACAATGCTATTCATTACTTTTAAGGACTTTTTTCAGACTTGTAGATCGTTGCTTTGTCCAAAAACAGAGACTTGTGAAAGCAAGCCGAACCAAGAAGAAACTGCAACATTGTAACAAGGCAACATTTCAAAGCATACCAAAAAGTCACATGCGAGTGAAACTGTCCTCTTATTGTTCAAAGTACACAAATGTATCCCGAGTGGGAATCAAGGCATTTTTGCATTGCACCTTGTTACGATAGCAGTAGCGGACATGTCACTAGTGGAGGCCCCAAGTGACAGAGGAAGCCGTTGGTCAGGTTCAAGAGTGCTTTTTATTGGCCACACGATGACAGTCACCCAATAATTGTGGGAAAAAAACACAAAAACAAAACTTAAATGCAACAAAACACAAACTGCACCAAAGACATGGTCAAATAAACTACATCAACAAGACAGAATCTGACGCAACCAGCACTTCCCTTCAGTACTAGATTACCTGGAGCTGTTTTATAAGCCTGACTCCCCCCCCCCCACCCCCACCCCCCCCCCCCCCCCCCCCCCCCCAAAAAAAAAAAAAAAAAACCCACAGACACTTGTTCAATGGTTCTCAAAGAATCCTCATGATTCATGGGTTGACACAGAGATCATCGCCCCCAGCGGTGAACCATTGAAATTCCGAAGTGTTCTGAAACGTTTTGAAACAGTTATGACATAATGGAGCCTCATTTACTGAAATCACGTGACTCTGGCAGTTTGATACACGCTCCGAACGATTGATTCGGAACATACGATTTGTAAAGACTTCAAAGCTTCATGAAGCAGTGTTTTGAAATTGCCATCACTAATTTTTAACTGAACAGGTTTGGCAAACGACTCGTCAAATGTAGTAAGTATATTTGTATTATTTTTACCTCTGTACTTAATAAACCATATAAACTAAATAATAGTTGTGGGATGATTTATTTCTATACATAAGACAACAATCCTATTATGTTGTCATATGTGCTGATGTTACAGCCACTGATTCCCCATATAACTCACGTAAACCAGGTAATACCAATATACAGGACATGATACACCACAACACACCAGGCTTAAAACACACAATACCATCAAATGCTACACAAGTCCATGTATACATGATTGTCAGTGCCGACAAACAGACTGTGTTAATATGACGCTGGTGTGCGTGTGTGTTTGAGTGTTCAGTCCATGCCTAGTCACAGGCTTACCCTGTCACACACCTGTTTCAGTAAGGAGCAATTTGACAGCATTTTAAGATGAAGAGGCACTCTTTGCTTTTCAGATGTGATGTGCTGAATCACAGAATCAGACACTGCTGCTTTTTACATAATGCATTTCCCATGATGAATTATGACACAACTTAGTTTGTTGGTTGGTTAGGTCGGATTGCTTTCTCACCACAAGTGTACCACTCCAGAGTTCAGTTACAAGTGGGCTGAGAGCACCTCTTTCAGGCAATCTCAGACCATGTTTTTTTTTTTTTGGTACAGATCCGAGCAAAGTTGCTGTGTTCATATATGCCTAAATGAATCAAACTAAAGGAGAAAACGCACCCAGTTCTGAAACAAACGCTCTAAACGACCCTCATGTCATCCCAAATCTACATATATTTAAACTGTACAACACTTGAACCTAACAAACCTATTGTAGTAAATCATTTTTTGCTTGTTTACTATTTTTGTACAGTCAGTAATATCTTTATTTTACTGTATAAAATGCTCAGGTGTCCCAATCCAGATGACAATACAGTGGACCCACATCCAGTCGTTTCTCCTTTGAGATGTTTATCTTCACTGCAAACTCCACAAAGGTTTACCTGCACTGCGCTATTCACCTTTGCCTTCAGACAGACAATCACTGCTCAGTGGTGAGTTTATAAATTCATAAGTATTTTCAGATTTTTCTTATGGACATGGATATAGTTGTTGGTATTTGTACATCTATCAAGTTTCTTTAAGTAAAAGGTCAATACACAGAAAACCATACATTTGAGCTCCAGTCAATGGAGAAAAATGCCAATTGTATATACTAGTTACAACATCTACCAGTAGAGGGCCTTATGGGGCCATGCTAACCAGCAAAACCTTGACCCCTTGGTTGACACAACTTGGTTGTTTTTTCATCTGTATTTTAGCACTGTGACTCTGAACACCACCATAGAGAGGGCAGATCTGTGGACTTCCATGACAGTGCTTCCATATCTATGGGTCCATTGATGTGGTCTGACAGTAACAAAGGTGACTTATAAAACAAAAAATATATATATATTGTTCATATTTGAATATCTAATGAGCAAGTGTGTTGTAGTTCTGCACTGGTCTGGAACACAGTGGATGCAGAGGAATGATACAAACAGTAAAACATCTCTCAGTGCTGTTAACTGAAACATCAGCACTATTGAACCACTGCTTGCCCAATCAACTGACTGCTGTGTATATTCTCTGTTCACAGATACACAGGTGCCACGCCAAGTGCAAGTATCCAAGGCTCCATGGCTGTGTGGTTCTCTGACTATATCACTTATTTCTCTAAAGAGTGTCCTGATATTCTTCTAGAATATTTCCACTAAGAATCACCATTTTTTTACACATCTAGTCTAAATCTCTTTCTTCAACCAAAATCAACATTAAAATAGTTTATAGTTATATAGTACACTGATAGACTTATAGAATGGTAATTTTATAAATTAAACAGTCTACACAATTGTGTCTCCTAATCAGGGTTTATTAGTCTCCTAATGCAGAATTATTTATCTGTCTGTTAGTTGTGTATCGTGTTTGATGGCTGTATGGTTGGTGGCAAACCAGTTTCCCAATCCGGATTAATAAACTTTTCAATCAGTCAATCAATCAAACAATTACTATTGTGAAGATAAAGCATTTTGTTACGTTATGAGTCATTTAGTTATTTTCTTTTATTTATTATGTCTTCCCTAGCAGATGTAATATAATAATGAGATAATAAACTGATTATTCATGTACTTTGGTTTCGGTTACATATTTGTCATTTGCTTTGTGTGTGTGATTTGTTGTACAATTCACCCTTCGCCGGGACTTTGAATGACAGGTGATCTGACCAATCATAATGCCAAATCCGCCATTTTGTCCGACAAACGAACTAGACAGAAGAGTCAGTAGATTAACATTGGTGGACTTGAACTTGAAAAGTATTGACATCTTTCCACAGTTGAAACAACATACACTCTGATGTTCATTCATGTTTATTTTGTGTTTTAACTAGTAGGAAGAGATGATCGGTTCACGTGCCGTTTGAACTTTGTCATGACTCATGACACATTAAAGAGCCACGAAAAAGGTTAGAATTTTTTTTAAAAAATGACAAAATTTAAAAGCTGAGACTTTGTTTCATACCAAAAGTAATCTGTTCTGTCTTGTCCATCGGCACGTTGTCTGTGATAACAGAGCAACAGTAACCTAGGGGGGCAGGTCTTTGCAAACAGTAAATTGTTTATTATACTGTGGTAATTTTATCTGTAAGAATCAACCATTAGCCCAATGACGCAATCCAATGACACAGGCAAAGGTATACCGCGTGGGTCGCCGTGATTTTTCCAAGTAAGACAAGTTCCTTGATCAACATATTTCGTTGAACCCGGAACCACATTTCTGTCTGAAAATTTTGTCCTAACCCTACCCCAAAACCTAAACCTACCCATACATTATCCCTAAAATCAGAGGGAAATTAATGATAGGTGAATAACACTGATGTAGAAGCACCTAGCCCTGGATGTAAGCCTTATGTTTACATGACATAAACTGTAAACTTGTCCCTCAAATCTGATTGGTTGATTGGAATGTTGTTCCAGGATCAACAAAGACTTTGATCCAGGAACATGATACTTGGTGAAATCATGTGCACCAGACCATACCATGTAGGTCTTTTACTTGCGCTTCTTTAAAGTTCACTAAATCTATTAGAATTTAGTTTCAATTTGATTCATGCTTAATCTGACTCCAATGTGAAACTTTAAAGAACTTTTTTAAATTTAGCCTGAGATCATTATTAACTTGGTTCTGTTTTAATTTGGACATTTGATTATTCTAGTATTCTCTTACTCAGAGCCGGCCCGAGCCTTTTGGGGGCCCTAAGCAGAATTTGATTTGGGGGCCCCTCCCACTACGCGGAGTCACCTGTGCTTGACGATTATTGACACAAATATCACGCAATAATGATACATTATGAATTAATACAGTGAGGTTATGTATAAATACAAAATAAATACTTAATAAAAAAATAGATAGCCTACTTATTTTTTTTTTTTACTTTTACTTCACTCTTTTACTAACTCTTTGAAACTTCTTAAAACAAACTGTCTCAAAGCCTAAATAATGACAACTGAGAAATCAAAAACATAATAAGAGCAAGGGTTCAACAATGACAATTATTGTTGAAAACTGTAAAAATATTATTATTTCTCAACTGTCTAAATACAGTGTAACTGTCCACAATTTTTTTTTTTTTATTATTATTATTGTAACAGACTTTGTTAGATTGTACATGACAGAATCCAACAAAGTCTGTTACTATAATACCGGTAATGATGTACTGGCGCCCGTTGTATGTGCATGCAATGTATTTTTCCCCTCGGGGCTTGCCGTAGATAGGAATGGTTCAATTGCTGCACAAAACATACCGTAAGTAATCATGCAAACATACTTTTATCTTGCTCTTTTTTTCTCCTCCTGTGTCATTTTCTAAGTTCTATTTTTGGCACCAGAGGGATACGTCCTTTTTTGTGACATGGCTTAACATTACCGCGAGTCCGCGACTATGCGCAGTTGCGCACGAATTGTCTATGCACGCGCGAGGTGTCTAGATTATGCGCATGACTTAAACGCTGGCAGACGCAGCAGCAGTTGTAGGGAGGTATATTGATCATGAAATCAGAATTTTCTTGTCTTTAATTATTCATTCATTCATTCATTCATTCATTCATTCATTCATTCATTCATTCATTCATTCATTTATGTCACTTGTTTAAGTTATCTAAAAAAATATTTTTCGATTTTTCGACTCGATTGGGGGGCCCCCTGGTGGCCAAGGGGCCCCAAGCAGCCGCTTAGTTCGCTTATGCCTCGGGCCGGCCCTGCTCTTACTCTTCAATTATTCATTCATTAGGGACCACAGAGTCTCACACCGCTCGGTCGGGATCTTGCGGTCACAAACTCGCCAGTTCTGATCTTAGTCAGAAGATGCAGGATTAACAGAAACTATAGTTTTCTAAGTCACGTTCAAAGAACTTGCTAAGACAGGGATAAACCCAAAATCAAGAGATCTCGGATGATGTACCACATGCTCCATTCATTCGTGAGCCTCCAGTTTGACCTCACCATGACAGATTTGCGGTAACACCAGACTCCTCTTGATCTACTATAACGATTTCAGAAGAATACAGGATCAATCAGATATAAAATTTTGTTCTTGAGGTAAAAATGCCAATTACATAGTTAAACAAGAAGCCAATTCACAATTGATAAAAGATGAATCTAAGAGTGAGAGCAGAGACGAGACGTACCTGACAGCAGAGAGACACACAGCAGTGTGCAACTGTTCTGGGTGCAGGACTCAGGACACTCGCACAAGACTGTGAAGAGTTTTTCTGGTTACACAATCTAAAATGACTCTTTTGCCAGTTTCCCTTAAAGGAACACGCCGACTTTTTGGGACTTTAGCTTATTCACCGTATCCCCCAGAGTTAGATAAGTCCATACATACCTTTTTCATCTCAGTGGGTGCTGTAAATCTATCTGACGCACTCACCGCTAGCCTAGCTTAGCACAAAGACTGGATGTAAATGGCTCCAGCTAGCTTTTGTTTTTGCAAAATGAACCCACAGACAGTAGCCTACCCGTACTGGACAAGGTCACTGTCTCTCAGAAAATCCGATTCATTAGCAAGGTGAAGGGTACAGTCCTGAGGTTACCTTTAGCTCCGCTCATTTGTTACTGGGGCGATAGAGCGCGTTCGTGACAAAATAATACTAACATTAGGGCCTGCTCACATATCGCGTCTTTTGCGCACTCAAGTTCGTTATTTCAAATGTAGGCGCGCGGTATGCGTGCTCATAATGGAAGCAACGCGCTCGTTTTTTCCAAGCGCGTCCGCGCCGCATCAAGATAAAAACATCTCAACTTTTCAGAATGCCGCAAGCGCACCGTAGGTCACGTAACAAGAACCAACTGGAGCGCAACCGCTCTTTGGAAAAGGGAGAATGCGGCGCGCCTAGCATTTTCTACGCGTTTTAGGCGCTATATGTGAATGGTGACAGGTGTAGGGTACCTGGACTGTGTCAGTTGGGACTCATTCAATTCTACATGTAAAAAAGCTTTTAACATTTGACTCACGTCTAGTAATTCACCAGCGAGCGCCAGAAAGTCTGTTCCTAATTGCGTTCATTGACACCTTTATGGCATGCAAAGGTTTACACACAGCCATGGTATCTCCTCAGTATCTCCTCAGAGCCATGCCAGGTGGCCAAGGAAAGCTCACTCCAAAAACGCACACACACAAACAGACATTCCTCCATTGAAATCTATAAAGTAACAATTCTGGAAAAGGTACAATACATCCTTGTATACCAATGTGTTGTGTTTTCATTTTGGTATAATACTTTCTAGTTGCGTTAGTTGAACTCTAAACGCCTATATTCAAGCTATAGGAATACATCTCTGTTGTTGTATGTGCCAATCACATCTTTTTTTGGTATCTATGTAAACCCCTCGGTTTGTCTTAGCTGAATCTATGTAGTAGATTGTGATAAAATGTATTTTACTATGTTTTACCATCTCTGGAGTGAGACTGAACACGTTTCTGTCACTGTCATAAAACATGCAAATTAGGTGGTCAGAAAGAGACAAAGGAATCCTTCCCGCCAAGGTTTTGTTGAATGTCATTGGGCAGGTTGCTCCGAAAGAGGTGTGGACTGTTTTCCTTAAAGGTGAAGGTCCAAGCAACTGCTCGCTCTCTCTTGTTCAGACCTCTCTTCTTCGGCTTCTTCCGGTGTTGGACGTCTCCAGTTTGTCATTTTCTTCTTAGTCTTAGTCTTTTGCTTTATTTTGTTTTGTTTTTCCTTTTCGTATTCTACTTTGTTCATTTCCACAGACGAGTAATGAACTTAGCCTGAATTGTTTCTTTTGTAACTTTACGTCGAGGACCTTTAACCCTTCGTTGAAAGTGCACGCTCCGGACAATCCGCAGACCACATGACGCTCCGACGGAACGACACACCACACATTGCTCTTTCTCGAGTCAGCACCACAAAGAACCATATGCAAGTGTTATCGAGCTTTAATGCGTTTATGATTCAATATCTTGGTGTCTCTCTGTCTCAAGGGTTTACGGTCTGTATTTTGCCACTCTCCGTCGGGATCTCTCTCTCACTCTCTCCCTGTTTCTTTCACTTTCAGTTTCTTTCAGTGTCTTTTTGCTGTTTTATTGTTTGTATATACATTTATTCCATGTATACGTAGTTTTCCTTTTATTAAATACATTATATTCATTGGATTGACTGTCTCGTGCACATTTCAAAGTCCCT